GTGGACTCCCCAGCGTGAAGAGAGCTCGCCCGTCGCCATCTTGAAGTATCATTCAGTTGCTACACAGCGAAGATAAGCAACAGACAGCGCGGCGGCGATTGAAGCACCCACCCCCCCCCACCTGGTATCAGCTGTGCCAGTGGGATGGACGGCAGTGTCTGGCGGCATCCGTTTTCTAAGATGCCCAACACCTCCGTAAATAGGTATTTAGGTATACATTATATATACCCACATTAACATATTCAACAACATAACTTCACACTGATAGACATCGTGTAGGTCATATCAATTATTATAAGTGCCCTACTTATTTAATATATACTGATGTTAATTTCCAGTATTTATTTTTCACCTGTTCAGCTAATGAGACTTTAATTATTTTAAACATAATTTATATCAATTTCCTGTAAATGGATGGATAAGGTTTTTCTTTGGTTTGCATCTAAATAATTTTTCAAACCTTAGACATAGAAAATGTGGACATTTTCTTTTGATCCCAGGAAGGATAATAATATTCATAATTTTCAAACTGCATATTTCAATGATGTCATAGACACATCTTTTCAAAATAAAAATATGATAGTTCTCCAGTAAATTATCACATGCTGTAAATTTTCAGCCATACCGTGTAGAACCCTTCACAACACGAAGTAGGCGAAGGTTATCTCTGCCATGTTATTACGGGATTTGCTTACCCAAGTTATAAATTTCCACTATTGTGTTGATATTGGCAGTAATGTTTGTCTTCTAAGTCAGAAACATCCAATTTTGCCATTGTACTTAAGATATTAGCCCGTAAGACACTTAAGTCTAGGACCCCAGTAGTTGCTGAGCCTACGGTTCCAGAGTCCCCAGCTTAGTGTCTACACATATGTTTGTAACATGGTTAGGTTTATGTATAGGATGTTTATCTGCGAGTTTAGCTTAGTCCTCGCTGAGCTTGGATGGTGTGACCGAGCGATGTAATAGCCACTGTCTTATAGGCAGAAGTATTATATAAATGGGTTAATTACATTTCATTTATATACTCTATCAACCCCTGTAACTTTCCACTGGCTATGAAGTAACATGTTCAGAGCACGTGATAGGGTGTGTCCACGGGAACCCGAGTCATATTGTGCTGAGCTCAGGCACTAAAAAGACGGCTCTCTGGCCACCTAATGCAGGCAGTAGTTCATTATCACTCACAAGAAGACGTTATTGAGAGCCATCGTGGATGGTTCCGTCTTCTCTCGAGGGAGGACGACGTACAGATTTCCGTTCTCCCTCGATGGGTTCCTACTCATTGGCATTATTACTCAACCCCTCACATCAACCGGACGGATTTAGCAGAGCTATTTAACATAGCCTCAGTCCTCCTCTTAACACTCATAGCTGCAGTGATGTTACGGTGATATACACTCGGAACTGTAACCTAGATAGTTCCTAAATAAATGGATAACAGACAATTGGGTTTCGCTACTAAAACCCTATATAATATACTGTACATGTTCCGGCCTCATTAACCAAGACGGAATCAGCAGTTAAAAGACCTAGAACATGGGAAATTCACGTAAATCTGCAGTTTAAACGTGTCCTCTGCTTGTTTACAACTAACCCACTTAGTCTGAGTGTACTCTCACATCCACACACACAAAAAAAAAAAAACACCATGATGCTTCAACAAAGTTGCTTTCATCGGTACCAGATATCAAAATAAGTAATTTCTGATTAATATGATGGGAAGTATGGAGGGGAGGAGCCCCCCAACTAGGAAGTTAGGTAAGGTTAGATAGGTTTTTGGTTGCTTTGGTCAGGTCCTATGAGGAATGATAACTCAAAACAACTGATTTTCAACAGAAATGGAGGTCAAATTCAAATGAATCACACCAAATACCAAAGGAAAACCTATACTTCTGGTAAAAAAAACATTTGGTAGTGAAACTGCAATTTTTAATGGTAAGATTATGTAGGTTTTATAGCAAAATAAAAAAAAGGTTCATTTGCACAAGAAATGAAGGTCATATTTGACTAATACACAACAACATACACCAGAAAAACAAATTTTTCATATCAATACGAGGAAATGAGCAAATATCAAATAATTATCAATATTAGAACCTAGGCCCATGGGTATTACTCCACTCGTTGCCACTAAACGAATCTTGGGAATTTTATAGTTGCAATTAGTAATTTTGACAATTGTAAGACACTTTTCTTCAATGGCATTTCTGGCGCAAATTATGATTAACCGAGATATTTAACATTTTATTATGTATGTTCGTATGTGGCGGTACCCACTCAGAACATCGAACGATGTGGTGGCACACAAACAAACCACCTTACGACTGTGGAGCTCCTCAGTTAGGTCAAATTAGGTTAGGGTTATGGTTTTCGATGTATTTTGAACACTTTTTACGGTATTATTTTCTTGACACACCGTTCATTCCTACCACTAATCTATTATCATATTCGAATAAGACGTCTAATTTTAAGATAATTTTCGTCTATTACATTACTAGCGGAAATGTATAACGGAAATAGCTTTTCCAAAATATTTTCTATTTTCTTCTATTAACATCCCGCCATTATCGTCTGCCTCTCCTCCAACACTGCGTGTCTCCTGCGTCTCCTTCATAAATCATCCTGCGAATGTGTTGCTGTACACGTCATGCGGCCAATCAAAAGCCTTTTTGATTTTGAAACCAATTAAAATGTTTTTGGGTTTAATTCGCGGTATTTTTGGCCCAATCAAATTCAAGTATTCTTTTTGGTCACTCATATTTTGAAATTCAAGTTCAGTTCCGACCATGGAAGTCTGCGATGGGTGTCACTTAAAGTATATGGAGCTGATTGCGAGTTTTTGGAAAAAAAAACGAAGAAATTACAGCATTTTTTCGATCGCATGGTGTTCTTCCAACCTCAGTAAAGTGTACTAAGAGCAAGACTGAATGTAAATATCGCAAAGACCAACATATGTGGCGTTGTGTAAGAATCCCAGAATGCAACAACGAACAAGAATCAGGCCAATAAGGTAAGAAATAGGTGATTCCATCATATGGTAAGAGTCAGTTAAGTAAGGTTAGGTTAGGTTTGGTTATTGTTTTTCTAGTGTTTTTTTTTTTTGTATTTTTTAGTTGCTTAGCCACTTTTTTTTTCTCGGAAAACGTCAAACGAAAAAAAATCGCTAAAAAAATAAACGGCAAATTTCCGCCAAAAAGGAAGATCATATTCGGTCTCAACACACACAAATACACTAGAAAAATATATTTTTCACTTGCTAAAAGTGAACGGTGTGACAAAATTTACCCTTTTTACCTTGATTTTTATAACCAATATCTTGATTCTGAGATGAGATGTGGCTTATCTCAGAAACTGGTATTATTGCGTTTACACACCGTTCATTCCTACCACTAATCTATTATTATATTCGAATAAGACGTCTAATTATACGATAATTTTCATCTATTACATTACCGGCAGAAATGTATAATAACGGAGATAGCTTTTCCAAATAAATTTCTATTTTCTTCCATTATTTCCCGCCATTATCGTCTGCCTCTCACCCAACACTGCGTGTCTCTCGCGTCTCCTTCATAAATCATGACGCGCATGCGTACCCGTACACGTCACGCGGCCTATCAAAAGCGTTTTTGCTAATTCAGAGTATATTTGGCCCAATCAAAATCGAGTTTTATTTTGGGTCTCTCATATTTTGAAATTCAAGTTGTTCCGACCATGGAAGTCTGCGATGGATGTCACTTAAAGTATATGGAGCTGATTGCGAGTTTTTGGGAAAAAACGTAGAAACTATAGCATTTTTTCGATCGCATGGTGTTCTTCCAACCTCAGTAAAGTGTACTAAGAGCAAGACGGAATGTAAATATCGCAAAGACCAACATATGTGGCGTTGGGTAAGAATCCCAGAATGCAACGACGAACAAGAACCAGGCCAATAAGGTAAGAAATAGGTGATTCCATCATATGGTGAGTCAGTTAAGTAAGGTTAGGTTAGGTTAGGTTTTGGTTTTTCTAGTGTTTTTTTTGTGTATCTTTTAGTCGCTTAGCCACCTTTTTTTCCGGAAAACGTCAAGAGAAAAAAAATCGCAAAAAAAACCCGGCTAATTTCCGCCAAAAATGAAGGTCATATTCGGTCTAAACACACACAAATACACTAGAAAAATATATTTTTTACTTGCTAAAAGTGAACGGTGTGACAATGCAAATTTACCCAGAAACTATTGATTTGCTCCAGAAATAAAGATCAAATTCATTCATTACACATCAAAAACCAACGGAAACACATAATTTCAACTAATATTTCGTATAGTGGCAATAAGTGAAAATTTACCGGTTAGGTTAGGTTAGGTTAGGTTAGGACCCGAAACGAATGTCAGATTAGTTCGAATCACAACAAGAACCATAAGAAAATCGGTTTTTTTTTTCTGAGGAAAAATCGAAACCTGGCTACTATCAAACTGACTCACTTTTTACCTTGATTCTTATAGGATATCTCTAGATTTTGAGATTGGAGGAGGAAGGCTTATCTCAGAAACAATGTGTTTGTGCCAGAAGTGAAGGTCAAATTCGTTCATAACAAAGAAATCCAGCGGAAAAACATAGTTTCAATTTCGATTTCAAATAGTGGTAACAAGTGAAAACTTACCGGCCAATGTCCAGTTCTACTTCCTATGGATATGTATGGTAAATAACAAAATTAAATGACTGGGTGTCCTGTCTTATTCTATTTTACCTCCACATACTGACAATTTGTCTTTTGAATCTAACATGTTGACATTCTAATTTTATATCATTACATACACAGTACTATATATATATATATATATATATATATATATATATATATATATATATATATATATATATATATATATATATATATATATATATATATATATATATATATATATATACAATAGTCCCAGGCTTACTGCAGTCTGATTTACTATTTACTACACATTTAAAAATCACAAGCACCAACGCAAATAATAGTGTTTTACCTGACGATCCCTACAACTCCCATGTTCTGTAGTTGTTGATAGTTCCAAGGTAATAAAAATGAGTTAAGCAGAGCACCAATTGTTGTTGTCGTCTGCTGATTGGTGTTGATGCCGCCTGCTCGCCTTATTAACACACCTACAAAAGACTCATCCTCAACTTATATAATCTATAGCAGGTTTTATTATATGACATATGAGTAGTATATTACGTTTAAACAGCGATTCATGGTAATGTGTCAATTAGATGCAAAAAGTTCGATTATTAGAGTCTTTGGACGAACTGCTCCGTCAAACACATCACGGCCGACATGCGTCCCTAATGCTGTATTATACCTTTAGAACTATTTCCTACCCAATCGAACTATTTCTTCCTTGTGAAAACTTTCAATTAAACAGGATATTTATTTATATGAATCAGTCTGCCCAATGTCTAAATACAGTATCAATAATTAAAGCATCAAGCGCCTCATGACTTGCAATTTTAAAGTTAACCATTTAGCTTTATTTCCTTATAAGTTTGTCAACAAAAGAATCTAACTGTACCAAATTCTTAAAGGCAACATATATACAAAAGTATCAAGTGTCATAAGTACAGTACTTGTACATTACATACTAAAACTTAGCACTTCCAATAACCCCACCCATATACTGTAGCGTTATCCCTGCTGTTATAATATGAATACTTACATAATGTAGCTTTTCAGTGCGTTTATATTAACCTTCAACGATTTCAGGTACTTCTCCATACTTTCTAAGCTGGCCATTGTTATAAAAAATGTGAAATGACCAACTGAGAATGTTTATTTGTTGACAATAAGCAACCACGCAACAGCAAGTAGCACCGAGAGGTCAGACACACACCAAGCGCAACTGAGGCTCCGGACAGTGATGGCCATCACTAACACTATCTCGGTCCGGTCAGTCATTAGAGGGATATCTCGAGCGTCTTATGACTTGCAATTTTAAATTAAAGTTAACCAATTAGCTTTATTTCCTTATAAGTTTGTCAACAAAAGAATCTTACAATACCAAATTCTTAAAGGCAACATATATGCAAAAGTATCAAGTGTCGTAAGTACAGTACTTGTACATTACATACTAAAACTTAGCAATTAGCACTTCCAATACCCATATACTGTAGCGTTATTCCCGCTGTTATGATATGAATACTTACATAATGTAGTTTTTCAGTGCGTTTATATTAATCTTCAACGATTTCAGGTACTTCTCTATACTTTCTAAGCTGGCCATTGTCATAAAAAATGTGAAATGACCAACTGAGAATGTTTATTTGTTGACAATAAGCAACCACGCAACAGCAAGTCAGAACCGAGAGGTCAGAGACCTACTGTACAACAAGCGCAACTGAGGCTCCGGACAGTGATGGCCATCACTAACACTATCTCGGTCCGATCAGTCATTGGAGGGATATCTCTCTATCGGAAACTTTTCCCCACTGATGGGTCTGTTAGCTGCTTGGGCGGGATGGTCATGTCTCTGTTACTCGCTGTTGGCAAATATTAGACACGTGTCGTCACTCGTTCAGACTTTAAAATGTACCAGAACATGTTCCAGTGGTTGGCCTAGTCTGCCCTGCTTAAATAAACTCACACTCGGGGCCGTCACAACAATCCCTGGCAGGTTATTCCAAGAGTTCTCAACTCTTACTCCAAAGAAGTTCGCTCTGATAATACGCTGTACTTGTGGGGCCCACAAGTACAGAGTATTATCAAATAGTGGCGTCTTTAACTTGGTGCTGTGCCCTCTACTTTTATTTTTATTTTTATCCTCTTCCATACTGATCGGCTCAATAGCAGCTTGGGCGGTCGGTCACGTCTCTGTTACGCACTGCTGTCAAGTACTTGGCATGTACTGGCTCCATTAGTCCATCCTCCAGAATGTATCTGTACCCCCTCCAGTGTTGGTCAAGTCTGGTCTTGAAGCAGCTCACACTCTGAGATGTTTATAAAATACAATTAGGCATAGTGTGAGCGAGGCAGCTGCAGGCGTTCTAATCTCTAGGTAACTGACGTGCCCTCCGTTGAACATTTTCAATGAACTTAAACTGACAGTCTCTAGCATATTTCGAGGACCAGACGGGGAAACACCTGACCAGCATAATATGTAAAGTACCTGAGAGTATTATCAGAGATGCCACGATGGAACATCTACTTCGAAACAACCTTGTAAAGGATTGCCAACACGGTTTTATGCCGGGGCGCTCCTGCTTAACACAATTGCTCAAGGTATTGGATATTTGGACCCATATTCTGGAACGGGGTGGTAATATCGACAATATTTACTTAGATTTTGCCAAGGCTTTCGACAGTGTACCCCACGAAAGGCTGAAAATCAAACTGGAAGGGTAAGGGAATTTGGGGATATGTCCTTGCGTGGATAGAAGATTTTCTACATGATCGCAAGCTCCTGAATGTACCTCAACCTGCTCCAGTGTTGGTCAAGTCTGGCCTTGAAAGAACTCACACTCGGTGACGTCACAACACTTTCTGGCAGATTGTTCCAAGAGTTCACAGCTTTCACTCCGAAAAAGTTTGCCCTCACAGTTTTCTGGACTTGCGACTTCTTCAATCTTGAGCTGTGACCCCTTGTGGGGCGAGCGTCCGCCAGTTCCAAGTAAGGACACTCGACTGAGTAGTGCCCCTTGAGATGCTTATACACCTCAATTAGGTCGCCCCTTGCCCGTCTGTAGTATAAGCTAGGCAAGTTCAGGCGCTCCAATCTCTCAGGGTAGTTGAAGTGCCGAAGTGCAGACACCAGTCTGGTAGCCCTCCTTTGAACATTTTCAACCAACTGAGTCCCTAGCATATCTCGGGGACCAGACGGGGTAACAGTACTCCAGATGGGGAAGCACTTCACTTTTGAAGATCGTTACGAAGGACGGACCGTCGAGAGAGTCAGCTAGGTGTTTGGAGAAAATTACCAATTTGTAGATTCTGCAAGAATGAGGGTCATGTTAATTAAGGACTGTCCTGATCCTAAATGCAAAATTTCTAAGGAGGCAAGCCTTACTAAACCAGTGGTCTCAGGTAATTTGACCAGCAGTAATTCTCAGGAGGATATTTTCAAAGCTTTCAAATCAATGGGAACAATTTCATGCACCCTGAATTCAAGGAAGCATCCAGTTCAGGTAGCCAGACACTGCGTCAACACAAAGTGTAATCGCGAGGAAGGTTTTCCAAACATTCATAAGCGTTTCACAGGGGGATAGGTACATTCAAAAGGGCTGACATCCACCATTCCTGTCTGTTTAGCAAAAAATTATCTAGAGTGTGATCTTGTACGAGGTACAGTGATTGTGGGTGTTACAGATTCAGCATTGCCAATACCTGATGCAACCCCCTCCTGGGAAATGACTTGACTGGCAATTTGGTTGTTCCTAAATTAAAGGTTCAGTAATATATAAATTGAGAAAGAGCAACCAGATTTGTTTCCTATATGTGATGTCACTTGGTCTCAAGCCAGGCTAGACATGAGTAATGAGATAAATGATCCTCCACAACTCCCTACCGCTACACAGACTAGTTCTGGGGACCTAGGCGGTAACCCTGCACTGCCTGCAGCACTGTACCTCAGAACCTGGATGGTGATTTACTCACTCAACTCATGACCCCGAAAAACTGATTGAAGCACAAAAGACTGACCCAACATTGGCTAAAATTCATAACGAAGCTGTTGATGAAGAGGAGACAGAGAAAACCCCTTCCTTCTACTACGAGGATGGTCTTCCACTAAGGTTCTATAGACACTTGAGCTGAGACCCATTAGGTAGTATTGCCAATGTCACTTGGGTAGACGGTGATGAAGGTCGCTCATGAAGAGTTTGGAGGACACTGTAGGGGTATCGAGATATTAATGTTGTCTAGCACTCAGGATGGAAGGAAACTCTAATGTGGTTTTCTTGTATATTATAAGTTATATGATAGACAGTCTGGTGCTGGAGGTGCCGTGTGGGGAGGGGCTGCTCGGTAGAGACGTTCGGTGAGTAGCTTGTTGAAGGAGGTAGATGTGCAGGAGCTTCGTTAGAGAAGATGTTGCCTGTTGCTGGCCTCCTGGTTGAATGAATGCTGGACAGCTAGGAGCTTGCTGGGAGAGGTGTTGCTTGTTCAAGAAGAGAGACCAGAATGAGAAAGCTGGTTGGTGAGGAAGCTCAGAGAAGGACAGCTGGTGGGTCGCCATGCTCGCTGGCGGGAGCGAGGACCACCAGGCAGGCGAGGAGAAGCGAAGGCAGCCAGGCAGCGGCGGAGGAGGAGGTGTTGCTTGTTCAAGAAGAATGGTCAGAATGAATCTCAATGGAGAGACAGAGCTTATATACCCAGCAGCAGCCGCCAGTCCTCTATGAATCATGTTGGGAAAACCCAGAAAGTCGCCGGTGACTAGTTCCGTTGCTAAGATACGGTAACATCTGGTTGGTTGCTAGGGAAGGCGGTAGCAGGTGGTGGCTGTGGCTACGCAGTTGTAGGCAGTTGTAGGGGAGACGTCCACTACAACACCTTGGCATTAATAAGAACTACCGCAAATTGTTGCAGGATTTTTATTGGCCTGGAATGAAAAAGGATGTAATAAATTTAAAAAAACTCTGCCACATTTTCCAAATAACAGGAATGCCTTGTCAGCCAATTCCCCCTTATCCCTTACAACCCATTTCGGTTCCCCCAAAACCTTCTCGGAAAATAATAATGGACTGTGTGGGCCCACTGCCAAAAACTAAGAAAGGCAACCAATATATCTTAACAATCGTGTGTCCCACTAGCAGGTATCCAGAGGCTTTCCTGCTAAAGAACATCTCTGCTACCACTATTATTAAACATTTAGTGCACACGTTTACAACTTTTGGCATTCCTCAGGAAGTACAGAGTGATCGAAACCAAACTTCACCAGCAACCTCTTCAAAAAGGTACTCAAAGCGCTGGGCATTAAGCAGACCGTCTATCGCTCATCACCCGGAGTCACAGGGAGCTCTTGAGCGGTGGCATCAGACAGTAAAGTCCATGCTCCGCAAGTATTGTTGTGGATACCAGGAATGCTGGGATGAAGGTTTGGATTATGTCTTGTTTGCTATAAAGAGAAGCCTCTCAGGATTCTCTTGGCTACCCACCCTTTAAGATGCTGTTTGGTAGGAAGGTTAGAGGACCTTTGAAACAAGTCAAAGAAAGATGGCTTAACCTTACTACCACAATGTCAGATTACCCTAAAAGACTTCAAACTACCTTAAGTAGAGTAGGCCAACTTGCACAAGAGAACCTGCTAACATCTCAGACAAAGATGAAGCATCACTATGATAAACATGCCAAGATTAGAGAGTTCAGTGTTGGGGACAAGGTCCTAGCCTACTTCCCTATTCCTGGTTATCCCCTGTCAGCAAGGTACCATGCACCAATCACATTTCAGGATGCACTCATTCTGCCAAGTTCTAAAATAGACACGCTAGGTCTCACCATTTCCTCTAATATGTCATGGAAGCCACACAATGCTAAAGCTGCCTCCCGAAAGCTAGGAATGCTGTCCAGATGCCGGTACTACTTCACTCCTGAGCACATGCTTCAAGTTTATAGGGGATTCATTCGTCCTAACTTGGAGTACTACTCACATATCTGGGGTGGGTCTTCTTCTGTCCAACTGTTATATAGGGTGAAATCAAAGGCATTTTGTCTTAAGTCTCCTCCTTTAGTTGATAATCTCTCTTCCCTTTCTCTTCGTTGCTTCACTCTCTCTGTTACAGGTACTTTAACGGGCAATGTTTGGTGGATTTAGCATCCTGTGTACAGCCGGCAAGGCCGTGGGCTGGTAACACTCGTCTTGCCCATGGTGCCCACCGTTTCTGTGTGGATGTCGGTCACATTAGAATAACCCGTTACAGCACACCCTTCTTTCCTCACACAGCC